TGTTTTCGACATTTTACAATTACTAGTGATATCCACTAGCTACTGTTGCACGTTCCACGACTAAGTGAAATGAACTGTCTTCGACGACCAAATGGTTCGAAACTCCAAAAAAGCTTTCTGTTATCAATTTTGTTTCATTGGTCTTGTATGCTTTATAAAAAAGCAAAGTTATAGAGAATACTATAATGTATTGTTTGGGATTTTCCGAGGAAATCCTAAGTTTTTGCCGGGATGAGAAAGAGACAAATTTTTCAATAACTTGAATAAGTTTCTACTATTTTTTATAATTATGCCTTGTTGTGAAGAAATCAATACTCTACTTCTAAAAGACACCGACTGATATTTTGACGCTGCATCCCACTCAGTGACCTTTAGGTCTTTGCCAAATTTTTGTATTATGGATTTAAAACTTTCCCATTTCTGCAGACTAGAATAGTTCAAGTATGAGAACTAAAGCGGACATATTTTGTGTCCTTTTCACCGATCGATTTTAATTACTGGATATACTTATAAAGTGTTCTGTAAACCTGGCGACCTTTTTTTTCTACGGTAATCGTAACGTGTACTCGATACGTTTACGTTATCGTACGTCAAAATATGCGTGCTTGGGCCACTTTATTGTTTTTTATAAAACTGGAATTCAAAAACAGAACCTCTGACGTCCACATCATGGCTAGTAGATTTAGTGTACAGTCAAGGTTGGCTAAGGAAATTATGGCGCACATTGTATATTTATTTAGACACAAGAAATCCTACCTGGTACATGAAGTTGTAAATAAAACTTTAAATGTAAACACGTCGTTGAGCTTATAGAGCCCCGGGCGGATTTATCTGGCACGTAAAATGTTCACTTTGTAGCAAGAGCATTGCAAAGTTTGCCCGATACAGATTATACGATGCATCGAATGCTATCTCACGGATGGTCTTAGTCATAAGCATTAGCGATTTAAAACCAGAAGCATGGAGTAATATATTTCTAAACGCCCATCTATTAATATACTCTAACTACATGTCTACTAAGAATTGTCTGTAGTTTGCACAAGTAGTACCCATTTAAATAAAAGAATTTTGACGGTATTATCTTTTAGCGCAAAAAGTACTGTTCTTCTCGTTTATTCTGCGCCCTTATTTGAGAACTAGTAAATGTAAGTTTAAAGTTCTTTTATCTTAACTGTATTGACGTTAATCGTATCTAGCTATCTGACAGAAGAAATGATTTGATTGGATATTTAAATGTTTTGATTTCTACTTATTTATTTTAAATAACTGATCACCAAAACTGTATAATACCAAACTTCAAATACCAACATACTGAATAATCGCCGTTAACTTAAGTAGATGTTACTAGTTTCCCCATCTTGTTACCTTGTTAAAAGAGGATCAACTAGGTTTCGCACTAAGTTTAAATTAGAGTGTGTTCCAATGAACTACTTAACAATTTCAACAATGTTTTAAAATCAATAAATTTTTGACGTAATTTTTGATTATGGTTTAATGATGTTTTCTAAAGCATAATTTCTAATTATAATGATGAACACTTTGTTATCTTAGCCGTTTTTAGTGTAGTAGTATGTAGTTTCTTTTTCTTTGTTTCGTAACATACATAAGAAAACAAAGCAGACTACAATAATAAACCTAATAAGGAATTAAATATTAGTTGTCTAGACCCTGACATAAACACACCGCTGAGCAGAGTTTCTGACAGTTGTTTACATATTATATGTTGTATTTTTTATTTGAAAGCAGCTTTGTGTTTTGTTTGTAACAATGTTACTTTTAGTATAATTTTAATCTGTAATAACATATAAGTAATTAAACATTTTACGTACACCCACGTCGCACTTTACAGCTCTCAACTACAATCGCGTAAGCTTGTTACTTGCAATATGGCGCAAGCGTTATTATGTTCAGCAGACGTGCCTGGTTGTGGCCGCTACGGATGTACGGCCATTAAACTGACGTCTACAGGATCAACGCTATTTTATTTTATAAGCTGTATTTTTAAGGCACTTTTTATTTTTCTGTTTTGCAGCAAGCGGAGTCCTGTATATTTCACTGATCGAAGAGAAAAGACGATAAAGCAAAGCTTTGGTTACTTAAAAAAAGTCCTAATATTGCTTTTACCTTAGAAATCTTGTCAAATAAAAGGCAACAAAACACGGTATTCTTTGGTAGGTGAACTCAAAACTTTTATTGAGGCACATGATTTTTTTTATTATGTATCGAAAATAAAAAAAAATCTTATCAAAACCTCAACACAGATAATCAAAGTGCCATTATTAACCCTTCTTTGAAATATTCAAACGTTAAAAGGGGTTATTAGAATTTGGCTAAAGTCAAATTTGAATTTTTGAATTAGGAACGAGCGTGCGTGTCGCGTGTCGTGGCCCGGAAGCGCGATGCATCACCGATCGATGCACTGCGACTGCGCTGTTCGCAGGTCGGTGATCCCGCGTGACGTAAGCACTATTGTTGGCCCACCTATGTGGGCAATGCTATCGGGGTCCAAATATCTGGACAGAAACTGGACGCGATAAGGCACTATGAGCGATTAGAATCTCAATACTAAACTCGCTGTACGTCGCAAGACGGTTAGATAGTGTTTGAACGTTAGATAATGTTTTAAGATGGGATAATTAAACCCGGAACTTAGAAATGTAATTTATTTTACACCAAGTATATAAAATTTGTTCGGGGACAAACATAGTTCACAGGTGACAGGTATATGAATAAAAATTAAAGGACTGCTTAAAATATAAACTCTTCAGTGAATTTATTTTTAATTTCGACCCGATATTTGTTACACTACCATTTTTACTCGTTAAATTACTATTTTAACGAAACTTAATTTTTCGCGTTTTAACCCATTAACGAGGGGCTTATTGAATGCAGTACTCGCGTCGTCTTTAAATGGAGACATAGGAATAATACACAAGAGTATATCAAAAATCTTAAGAACAATTTTAACGGTTTAAAACACGAAATATAAGAGTTAACTTAATTATTAGAACTACGGTTCTTTGCAGCAGCCGTTTGGCTTTGGTCAAGTTTTACCGCGTTTCTAAAAAGTGTTATTTAAATGCGCACTACTTCTACGCGCAATTTCAATCAATTTAATTTAAAAGCTACTAAAAGAGAACATTAACAGTAAAACGCGATAAACACGATAATTCTCGGCTGTTCAATCAAAAAGCTTGCAGCACTTTAATAACTTCCCGTACGAGTGCTCGTGACGTCATCGTTTTGTCGTCGACAGACGTCATTAGTGATCGTCGATTGTCGACTGCGCCTCCGTTTAATTTTAACGAGCGAATCAAAGTGGCACTGCTTTTGTTGTTCAAGATTTTTCTCAGGCTGCATTCGAAATACATTACTGTTACACCTACCTATTTATCAAAGATTAGAAAAGTTTCGGTTGAAAATTGCGCGAGCGCTGCAAGTGGGTTGAAAACACAGTTGCTTGGATAGAGTGTCGTCGATAGTTGTGGATGCCGGTTCAAGACCCGCGCACAAAACACATTTAAAACCAAATAAACGTTCAAATAAGGTTTTCAGACATAACACGTAGTTTCTGCCATATTTGTTAGATATGAATAAATTGTAATCGAGATACTTGAAACTGGAGAACTTTATTCAATAGTACGGACTTGTTTTTCCACTTTAATTAATATTTTTAATATAAATAGAAATATCAACATAACGTTTTTATGTAGGAAGGTCACATGATATATTCAAAATTCAAATTAATGAACAATAACAAAATAATAAATAAATGGGTTATGCAAAAACAACTTTGCTGTGGAAGGACAGCAAAAAGCTGTTGCTGCAACGACAGAATAATTGATAGAATTGAGCATTCTTAAATTATATTTTTATTTATTACAGGCAATATTGCTGCAACGCTGAATTTCAGGAATGCCCCAAAAACACGTTAAACCCCTGTCTATAGCTTACGCGAGTAGTACACAATTAAATAAAACACTTTAACGGTTTAAAACGCGATAATTAATTAAATTTAATTGAAAATGATTTGATTTAATTTTGATGTAAAGCATCCGAAATGTCGGGCCGAAGTTAAAAATCATTTTCAAATAAGTTTAACTAATATATCGCGTTTTAAACCGTTAAAGTGTTTTATTTAAACGTTAAAAGCCTTCAAATATGTTTTCTAGTCCATATAGAATGATGCTGAACATAAAATTACGTAATGTTTCGCAAAACTAGATAGATCGTACTATAAACTGACATTTCTTATGACAGATGACTGGAATGCGCGCTTTCCATGCCAAATGGCTGATTCACTGTGACCTATGACAAATGTGCTGCAAGCGATAAGGTCAACTTTGACCATAATGTGGCGGATTAATTATTATGACACTGAATACGCTGTTGATGATTCTTTATATGATAGAGAAGGACACACAAGCATGGCGTTCCCTGGATGGGAGGTGTAATAACCCAGCCTTATAACATCTACATCTACACAAGATGCGATGTCGACCTGTTTTGGCTTTGGATAGCAGAAAAGTAAAATTTTGGTATGACATGTTAATTTGAAGTAAATTTTGTTTAATTATTAACAAAATAAGTACATGGACACTCTGGGGGCAACTAACTTAACGGCATTACGTAACTAATTTACCCTCTAACAATAACAAGAAAAAGATCGACGCATATCCTTAAATGGGCTTGAAACGCAGGATTTTTCTGTAACTGGCCTATTTGTATGGTACAAGAAGACAGACTGTCATTTACTTGGTGGTAGGTAAAACACCAGCCATATAACATCTAACACGATATGCTGGCGACCCCTTTTTGTCTGCTTTGGACATTCAGAATTCGTTCAATATTGCGTATTGTCTATATTTTTAGCATTCAATCAACAATTAGGTGGGCAGGGCTTATATTGAAATGTGACTTTTCAACCTCTATAAAGGACGTTCTCTAGACTATTCGTAAATGCCAGTTTGTATTTAAATATATGTAAAGATGTAACTCACCTCCTGTTATCTAGATAAGCGTCGTAGTCGTCCGGCATGCTTTTGTCGTCATGCATGTCGTACAGGTCACTGTAGATTGCGGATTCCAGTCGCGTCGGGTCCAAGTGATAATTGGGATTCTCGTACGAGAGAAGACCATTCTCTGAAACAAAAAAAAACACATTTAGCGATGGAAGGTAAAGCACCGCAGTCTTATAACAATTAAACAAGATGCGCTGTCGCCGTAATTTGGCTTTGGACTCACCAAATCTACAGACTAAAACCCAATCACAATTAAACTGTACAACTTTTACATCTAGGAGAATTGAAAGGAATTTTAATAATCCCACCACCCATTTAATATACTGGATTTATCAATAGGATTTCAGAAGAATTATAAATTGATAGCAACTTATTGGGTCCTGGTGGAAATCGAATACACGTTCCGTTGATTATCTGTCCGTCAATAGGTAAAATATTGTATATAATATAATAGTGCAGAAAACTTACTCTATAAATTAACTAGTATTTATATATTGCTTAATTAAAACTGCACTAGTAAAAGTCACGTGTGTGCACTTTAATTTCCCCTAACAACAATGGCTGTGCATCGATTTAATTATATAAGACTTGAACAGATGAAAACAAAGCGTAGGGCTTCCGTACCGGCTTGGAAGCCCCACCGCTGCTCGTCTGAGACCTAGCCTCCATTGACATATCAATTACATATTTATGTACATTTCTAAGTTATAAGAGTACTTTTAGTCTCCTTCTATCTTCCCTTTAATATATCTTACGACTTCGTACACAAATTGAATAAAATATCAAATTAGTTTAGTTATACGCATTCATAAATCTCATAATTAATAAATACATACATCCACAATACACTAACACACACAACATAGATATATCCACTCTAATAGACACTAATTGTAAGTAGACATAAATTAGCTTAGATATTATTTATTATTGTTTGTAACCTGGAAGAGACTTGCCCTACCACACAGGCTTGCCCTACTGTAGGGAGTTGGGACTCTCTATCTGCACCATGTATAAGGAAAAAATATAAAAAAATCATTTGATTTTTAATTAAATATTGCCTGTAGTTTACGCGACTAGTTGACGACTAGTAGACTAGTGAATTTTAACTTTATATATTTAGAATTTCTTTAACTACGCCCCGAGATTTCAGATGCTGTGTAGTAGTCGTGGACATGGGGAAGTGAAGATGAAGTCCTTTTGTAAAATCAAATCTGGTACAGCGAAGTTCCAGAAACAGATGGCGTTAGGGTAGCAGATTTGACATTAGGGACATCCTCCATCTTCTGTACTCTTTCAGTCCTGTTGTTATTTATATTACTAACCATTTATACTCGTATTATTTTTAACCAAAAACATCATTGACGTTATGATTCTTCATTATATGATCTAAAAGTGTCCGGAACACTATACGTCCACCTTTTATGATTAAGTTGCAGGAACGACGGGCTTCGACCAACCACGATTTGTAAGCAATACCTTAAATCTATATGTCGATTAAGGAAAGGTTTGGATAAACAAATTTTCATACCCAAAATATATATTATTCACGGACGAAGTCGCTGACACAGCTAGTACGGTATAAAACTAAACCTGGCTAAACCGCCATCAAAATCCCAATACCCATTGTAGTAACAACCAAAACTGCAGCTAAACCTTAACGGTTATGTCCCAACATAACATAATAGCACCACCATACCATGCGCGGTAACCTTTAGGTTCGTACACGATAAGAGAAAAGCGGATAAATGGGGGAAAATATCGAATATTGGGAGATTCTTGAATACTGTCTATAGTTTTCATTTCAACGGTTTAAAACGCGATATATATTAATCAAACTTTTTTGGAAATTATTTTAACTACGGCCCGACGTTCCGGATGTTTTGCTAAGTTTGAAAAGTTACCTACTACTTAAAATCGCTTCTTTTTGTCTCATACTCCCCTCGTGAGACCAGCGCAAAGCGTAGTCAAGTCACATAGGCGTGTTAATAGAAACGTGTTTGTAATATCACTTCATGGTGTAATGTTACTTAAGTACGGTTAAAAAATAGCAAGATGGAGGTAGAGTTCAGCTTCAATTCAATTCGATTGGAAACTGTTGCTATATTTTAAATATCACATTAACTTTTAAATAAAACACTACACAATTTAATTTTGTTTGAAATTTGTTGAAAATTAATTTTAACTACGGCCCGACGTTTCGGATACTTTGCAGCAGTCGTGGTCACGGGAAGACAAAAGATGGAAGATGTCTCTGACGTCAAAGTAAAAACTTCTACGCTAGCGCCACCTGTTTCGTCGAAGTTGGTATATGACGAAATTGACTCACGGTGCCTTACATTTTGCCGGTATGCTGTTTATTGGAATATTATGGGATCCCATAATAAAAACTATGGAAAACTTTATAATAATTTGAGGCCATCGAAATTAAATCGTTAAAGTGTTTTATTTAAAAGTGTACTTCTCGCGTTAAGTACGGACAGTGTTTATTACATTAATTGACATTCATGACATTGTAATTTCTATGATTAAATAAATGTCGTGACATTCTACCAAAATAGAACACGGTCACATAATATGAATGCTGGGACTATAGACCCAGCGTAGCTGAACGGCTTCCTTTAAAAAAAAAATTTCCAATTACTTTTTCACCTATCAATGTCTTTCCGAGGTAGATGTAACTATAAAGAAGAGGGGACTTATGAGCTTAGACCCACCATACAACTTCAGTTTGGTTCGGTGGATTTTAGCGACTACTGACACTGAATGTATTGATAATCAAGATCGACGCTTTATCGTGGTTCAAAAGCTGGAAATTTATTTTAAAAATTTGTAAATACCAAACTAATATTTTACCGGAAGGAAGGAGGAGGAATTGAACCAAAATCCAATCGTCATGATATTGACATGACGATTGTACTAAGTAAGTCTAGATCAGCGAGGCGGTTCCTCTATAACAATAAAACCTAAATAAATAAATGATTAAATGACTCCGTACTAAAAGTAACTTAAATCTTTGATTACTTAAATTTATGTTTATTATTAGCAGAAAAACCTTTTTAAATAATAGAAAACGCAATCAAGTTCAGGGTTGTGTCTGCATACCAGAATGTTATTATTACTATTAAAAAGGTTTAATATTACGTAATTTGCTCACGTCACGAACAGAAAGTAATTAAACGTTTAGCCATAAATTATTGCAGGCAACATATACCTGCATATTTAAAACAGGATGTAAAAATGTTAGATTAGGAGTTGCTCGATATGTTATTTTTTTTTTTATGATAGAGGAGAACAGACATGGCGTGGATTTCACTTGATGGTGATATAGCCCAGCCTATAGCATGTAAACATGATGCTTTGGATATTCGGAAATACTAATACAGACACAGACAGAAATCGAAACGCGATTAAGCTCCACGACTGTTTCGTCTGTAGACGGTGGTTGATGGCCCGGGCGGAATTTCTATATTCCTACTTAATATCCAGATGTTCAGACAAAGTCCAATATGTTTTAGAAAAATTATAAATTGAAAAATTCCGGATCCGGGGATCGCTAACCCGGCGAGCTTCTCGTTGTTCGAGCTCCCACCCGCATTCGGAAATTCGTTAAAAATATAGCCATTTGGGCACCCCTTTGTTGAGCAGACATAACCCTGTGTCTGTTACTAATTGCTAAAATCTTTATAGATATTCGATCGCACTTGTCCGATGTTCAAAGTTAGTTCTAACAATTGAGCCACGGAAGCAATCAAACTTTAAACTAATACAAACAAATATTTTGTCTTCCAAAATTACTTAATATATACTTACATCAGTTTCAAAGTCATTTATTCATTAGAGTGACCCGTAAACATGACCGGTAGACTATAAATCACCCATATATTATAGCAGTTAGGGTTGTGAACAAAAAAAAAGAATATAACACCAATAACTTAACTCGAAGATGTGTGAAATCGCGTTTTTCCTTGTGGGGCATGGGGCGAACATTTCTGTGCACGTTTCACTGATCGGCTGTTTTCGAACGAACCTAGGACCTGTCGTGCTTAACGCAATACTGTGCAGCACGTTTAACCATCGATCAAAATCCACGTGCACCTTGGGTACACATTACTGTGACCGTTTCATATATATAAAATAATTTACTTCCATAACAACAGGATAAAAGACCGTCATCGCCTTTCACTTTTGTACATAAAGCTTTTTGTAATTATTGTCGTTAACGAATTAATAAAGATGTGTGGCAGCCCTATTTGTAAGTAGTCTAGTCTAGAGCTGCACCGTATTGATCCTTGGCCGACCTTCGAGCGGTCGCGACATGTCTTGAATATGAAGGCATCTTGTTCTATAAGGCTGCCAACGGTTCTTCATTTTCCGGGAACCGGGAAGCATCTTTCAGGATTCTTAGATTTTAATTTTGATGTACTTGTGTTGTGCTAAATTGCAATACAATATTGTATAATGGTTCATAGATTTATTATCTTAAGTTAATCTAGGTGACCACTTGCTAAGTCCTAAATAAAATAGGCCTATTTAAATAAAACACTTTAACGGTTTAAAACGCGATATATTAGTTAAACTTATTTGAAAATGATTTTTAACTTCGGCCCGACGTTTCGGATGCTTTGCAGCAGCCGTGGTCACGGGGAGACATGATATATCGCGTTTTAAACCGTTAAAGTGTTTTATTTAAATGTGTACTACTCGCGTAAACTATAGACAGTATTTAAAATAGGCCTATCCTAAATAACCTAAATATTCTTAGATCTATTTACTAAATTATTTTATTAAACTTGATCAATCCGTTACGACGGAATTATATTATTTTTTTCCCTATAGCGTATCTTAATTCATAACAAAAATTAAAAGGTGAAGAGTTTGTTTGTTTGAACGCACTAACCTCAGGAGTGACTGGTTCGAATTGAAAAAATATTTTTGTGTTGGTTAGATGTTTTATTGAAAAGGGCTACTAAACATCGCAGTGTGCCGAACAGAAGCAAAGTAACAGCGGGACTTGTGGAAAAAACGGGAAAAATTATTCTCTATCTTTGTGAGTGAGTATGGAAAAATGATTCCTATTTAAATGATCTGAAAAAAATGTCCGCAACACTATACGTCTTTCTTTTGAGATTAACTTGCAAGAACGACACTACGTGGGCAACAACCAACGACGTCGGTTGCGTCCCGCTTATACAAGAATCTGTAAAAATGAAGAGTTAAAAAAGAAAAACAAATTTTTTTGAACCTGAATGACTATTCTAGGCGGACGCAGTCGCTGATACAGCTAGTATTGCATTAAAGCTGTACGATTCTTTGTAATATCATCTACATTACTTGCGACTTTATACAAAATTCCAAGTCACTTATTTATTGTCTATTTGTTAAACGAAGATCCTTATCAGTTCGCGTTCTTCACTTAGTTTATGTTCATCATTATCTTGTCAATACCGTTATGTAACAAAAAAATTTGAGGGAGTAAATGTTTACAATTGTGGGTCGCTGTGCTCTTGTAGGTTAAAATTTTTAGATTATGAAAATATAAATAGATCAAGTCATAAAATTGCAGTTAGGCTTCTCTGGCTAGCGGCCTCAATTTCAAACCAAGAAAAAATTTATTCAACAAGACCGTGACCGCCCTGTGAAAAAAATACAATTTCGGGCAGGACACAATGATAAACAGAATGCCGACACAAGTACAAAGGTATTTTAGACTCGCCGTCTACAAGTTTTCGATTGCTTAGTTTGTCAATATTAGTCTCTAAAAATTAACATTATAAAATACTCACTTTCACGCTTATGTAAACCCATAGTGATGTTACACTTGACACATTGCACTCACACTTTCGATTTTCACTTTCAGTACATCACTAAAGAACACACATTGAATATCAATAGCGTTGTGCAAGCTGTGGACGTAATGAATTAAAATTACAAGTAACGAGAGGCGAAATTCAATTTGGATAAATCATAGTGTCATTTAAAGGAGAGAGAACTAGCGCAACTGAAAATTAACTACGGCGGATTAGTGATGTGTTGCTTCCCGCAGGTAAGGTCGACAGTTGGATCCTCGGTCGTGAACTAAGATTTACAAATGCGTACAATCTATATGCTAGTACCATTCTTTCATACATATATTTTACAAATTCTCTCTGTTTCTTCGTTCGTATTGGTCGCAGCCTGATGTTTTATCCTCGATCAAAACCATTCCAAAAAAAGTGTTGAATTCAAACGGGAGTTCTCGAGATGGGCGCGTTCAAACGAACAAACTTTTGCTCTTTATAAATTAGTATAGATTTTCCAAGATAAGGTTAATTGTTGCGAACTCTGAACCCGTTTTTAAGCAATTAAACAATGCAGAATGCGTCTCACGCGCAATCTAGATTAGACATGTCAAAAGCGTGAGACAAAGAATGAATTGCATCACATCTTTGTATTATAGCTGTTTTACGGGAAACGTTTTACATAACATCCTATTAGAAGCAAATTTGTATTAATTTTCTCTGCCGTCAACGCCCCTGTGGCACTATGGCTAAATACCAGCGCTCGCACGTGGCCAATAATTAATGGGTCGTGGGTTTGTTCCCCACTCGGTCTAACGGGTTTCTAATCAACTTATATGAGACAGGCATGGATCTGACTTGTAACTTGTAAATGATGTATACCCTACTAATTTAACGTCTAAGCAAGATGCGATGTTGACTTATTTTTACTTTAAATTTTCGGAAATCCACTGAATAAGATTTAAAACTTACGATTTTCCAACATGTTTTAAAACCTAAAACTTTAAGTAGAAAAATGTTGACCCGATGATGATTGAACCCGTTGATTATTGCCATTTTGGCATTACACGACGAACTTGCATTTTTTTTTATTAACTACGAACGAAATTGGATTTCTTAAATTTCTCTTCTATGAGAGAGAAGACCTGTGCCGCGCAAAAATTAAATAAGAAATAGTAATACTATACTAATCTAAACTAATATATTTTTGTTTGACTTTATTTGTTTGAACGAAGCGAGAAATGGGAAAAAAAATTGTGAAAATGATTTATCATTAAGGGTTTACGAAGCGTACGCTGCAAAAAACGGTTCAAGATACCCAAAAAATATGTATAACTTGCTTAAATGGCATAACCCTAGCGACGGGACGCAACCGTGGGGTTTACCCACTTAAATTACGCTTAAATTTAGAAAGTGAAGAAGTTTGCAAAAAAAAATTCGATGTCCATAATAACTTTTCTACGCGACCGAAGTCGCTGATACAACTAGTAAATAATAGTAATAGTAATACGTATTATTATTATTTATTAAATAATAATGTTATTTTTATTATGAAAATGAGCTTTGAAGTATTTTTAAAATTTAGAAGGCACAATATTGTGTAAATTACGTAAGAAATATATTTTCGATACTTTAACAACGATTGTAACTATTTAAGTTACATCAATATATATGAAAGAGCAGGTAATTAAGAGATAAACAATTAAAGAGTTTATCCGACGTATTATGTTGACGGTACATGTTTGTTAATCTGTCACGCAAAAACCACTGAACGGATATTAATAAAGCTCTACAGTAATATTGCTTAGAACAACAGTGACACATGATCTATAATGCAAAGTGTGACTTAATATATATCACGATAAGACAGAAGACCTCCTGTAGCAAGAAATTCTGCCACTTGCGAGCTATTCTGGGGTTTAACAAACGTTAACACACATACAACTAAATAATTAAAGACAATTTTTTTTATATAAAATGGCTTGCATTACCACATTGTGAATACTTTGACGGTCTAACAAGATAACCTCTTTTTTGCATAATAGACCAATGTTTTAAATCACCAATCTGTACTAATATTATAAAGCTGAAGAGTTTGTTTGTTTGAACGCGCTTAATATCTAGAACTATTGGTTTTAATTGAATTTTTTTTTGTATTGGGCTTAATTAAGCTGCGACCAAAAGGAGCGAAGAGACAGTGGGAAATGTGGAAAAACGGGGAAAATTATTCTTTCAGGGCTTCCGCTGTATGCTCTGCAAAAGAAAGATTCCTCTTTAATCTCAAAAAATGTTCGCGACAATATATGTCTATCTTATATTAACTTGCGAGAACCACGGGACGCGTAAAACGTCGTGTATACTTATAAAGTTACAAACTCAATAGCTTTTTCTAAAACGTAGATCTAGTTTTCAATATATTGTAACTATTCGTATATGAACTCAAAGCAAATTTTGAAACAGCAAAGTAAATAACTACACTTCAATCTCGGGCCATCTAACTAGGTCAATAAGAATCTTCTAGTCTCTAACTGAGCTTAAATGCTTCAGTTTTCATCGTATCTACTAGAGCAGTCTAGAAACGCACTCGTTCAAGTTTTAAGCCGCTCGGAGAAGTTAATTAGTGCAGACACATTATAGAAGGCTAACAAAGCTAAATACAGGAATCGTTTTCTTTGGTCGTCTATGACTTCTGGATTGAGTATAAAAACTATTATAGTTGAGATATTTGACATAGACTTTGTTAAAGTTACTAAATAGCCTTATCAAATAGTAAAATAATAGTTTATTGATGCAGAATTGTACAGATTTGATTCAAATCCACTTAAATTAGTTTCCATATAATCCAAGACTAGACAGAGGTATTATATTTATGTATATAACTTATTTATCATAGACTACGTTAAAGGTACATATAATAACAGGATTTAACTGCTTTAAAATAAAAAATAAAGCGTTATTTATCCTCATAATATAAAATGATTTTCAACCAAATTATCAATTATAATTTTGAACAAGGCGGCAAAAACCGACTGAAAAACTGCTTTTCCGGTGATCGTCCTTCGTTTTAATTTTAAAATAAATTATTTGATTGATGTCAGTTATACGGTCGTGAGGTACTTTAAAAATGTGCTTAAATTCTTATTAACGAATTGGAAACGCCTGTACAGTTCCAGTTTGTTGAAAACTTTAATATTTTTCACATATTTGCACACGTAGGCTAAAAAAAATCGATTAAGATTTGAAAAACCGCCAGAGGTGCATGTTTCAATCGGTTGAAAAAATCCGATAATAACCTGTAAGACACGATAGCTCAATTGGTTAGAGCAACAGCACGGGACGCTGTGAACGCCGATTCAAGTCCTGCTCGTATTCTAAAACTTTATCAATCTAAAATCGAGAAAATAATTTTAACTACAGCCTGAATTTTCAAATAAGTTTAACCAATATATGTCGCGTTTAAAACCGTTAAAGTGTTTTATATAAATGTGTAACGCGTAAACTACGGACAGTGTATTCTATATATTTTCATGTTTCTCCTTTATGGTATAAAGCTATCTATGAACATAACATATATATCTTGATGGCAATCTTCAGATCTCACAGTGCATAAAACGAAATCTCTTCGAACGACCGATAAAATATCGCCCGCTTTATTTAGATAATAAACAGCTTTCATAAACAACATACAAGGTCAGGTCTGTAAGTCACCTTTTCATATTCGCTTTTGTGCAATATCCTGTACAAACTAGCTTGTTAATTTTATTCCGATTTTATTATATCGAAATCTTTACCCGTTTACTAATTAACGATTATTTATTAACGTCTTGGAAAGATCTGAGTTGGCATTAAACAGTCGTTATAAGTATTGTTATGCAACATTATTTTAAGGAGATCTTTAAATAAATCACATTTTACGATTTCAAACGCAGCAGCATGCAGCATTACTAATGTATGTGGACGGAAGATGCTTAGTAAATAAGTAAATTGATGTTCTTAAATATATTCTTCGCTCATAAAAGACGTGACTGAAATCAAAGCAAAAATATTTACTAGATATTTCTGATCTTGAAAATAGAGAATTCAATTTAAATAAAACACTTTAACGGTTTGAAACGCGACATATTAGTTAAACTTATTTAAAAAAGATTTTTAATTTTGGCTCGACGCTTCGGATGTTTTGCAGCAGCCGAGGTCACGGGGAGAGTTTATTTAAATGAGTACTGCTCGCGTAAACTATAGACAGTATATAGAATATAATATAAAAATCGAAAATAGATTGAAAAAAAATTCGACTCCGGAAGGACTTGAACCGGCATAGTCAGCGTTCCGTGCTGTTGCTTATATACATACTGACAGGTTAAGATTTATGCAGAAAATGTAACTTCATCAAATATCGATAGAGTAATTTCAGTGTCTTGTTTAAACAAGTTAAATTCCCGAAAAAAGTATTATCTATTTGTAGTTTAGAGCTATGGTAGTTTAAATATTTAAGCAATAAAGTATTTAATGTAATTAAAAATTGCTACAAAAGATTCAAAGCCACTTAACACATTGCATTTACCATTGAGTTACGGAGAAGACAACGTGTTTATCAGAATTATTGCACAATCGCGTCAAACACGTAATTGTAACTATTTATAGTTACAAATATATAAAACTTTCTTAGACGAAAACAGAAACATAACATTAATATACTTAAGCGGTCAGTGACCCGGCAGCGTCGTTCCAGATTTCAGTTCATATAGTCTTTTCAAGCCTGAACTTGGTTAAAAGACTATTTGGGTTATGAGTAATTGTATTCGCAGAAAATGGCTGAAAAAACCTTTAAAAGCCTTCGCTGAATTCAGCTTTAATTAAGTTTTTAATTCTAATTAATCGAGTGACTCTTTGAAAGAGTCATTGCATTTCAGTTAGTCTGAATGGGTCAGTATTCAGTACATAAATATCATAAACTAACGTCCTTATTCTAGTTGGTATAATACTGAAGTGAGTTATAACTAGAAATGGGTATAATGTTTGACTGAAACTAAATTTCGTATGTCCAAGACGAGTATTACTACCTGCTTTTTCTTTAGCTATCTTCGCTCCTGCGAACCAGTAGTACCTGAGATTAGCGCGGTCAAACAAACAAACAAATCAGCTTTATATATTGTTTTATGACGTTATAATTTGGTAATAAATGTTTATCGTCATCTTTACAACAATGAAAAAAAGGTTTTCACTTTTTATACGAAGCTATTCAAGCTAATTTAGCAGGGCAACGAAGTTATTAATTACATAAATATTTCTGCTTTACGTCAATCTATACTAACATTATAAAGCTGGTGTGTGCAGTTGGTTTGTTTAGCTAATCTCAGGAACTACTGCTTCGAATTGAATTTTTTTTTTTATATTTATCAGGAAGGTTCTTATAACATCGCTGCTGCTATAGGAACGAAAAAACAGTGTGAAATGTGAAAAAAGAGAAAATTTGCGTGCTCTGCGAAAACGGTTTACGAAAACAAAAAATATAAAAATAAAAAATAATGACTCCGCTTCAAATGATAAAAAAATGTATGATCTAATGTTTTAATAAAGTACCTAACGGTTTAAAAAGTAAAATTTTGAGTTAAACTATATGTAGTACTGACACCATTGATTTTCAGTCCCCCTGTGACCTCGGCTGCTGCAAGGCATCCGAAACGTCGGGCCGTATTTAAAATAGATTGTTAGTAATATAATTAATACATTTCGCGTTTAAAATCGTAAAATTTGTTTTATTTAAACAGCTAAATTACTCATACCAGTTACAAGCCTTTTGGTCTAATTTCATTTCCTAAAGCTAAATGCATGCCATTAGTGAGTCGGCCCATCGCCCATCCATAATGGACCGAACATAGGGCAACGCACTACACGCGATCCGAAATTGGGGTCGGGCGGTTTTGCGATCAATCATCAACAGACCATTTAGTGTTTCACTCGCATAATTCACTCGTAAGTCTGATTCATCATTTCCGTGTGATTCAAAAAAATGTGTTGTTTGTTTTTATTAGTGAGAAAATAAAAGTAAATTCAATTTGCCTAGTATACTCGTTTTAATTACAACAATTTAAGGGTTTAAAACGAAAATATAAGTACCTCATAAAAATATAATACCTAATAGATCCGCATCAGGCGAAGTTGAAAATTAATCAGATTTAATTTTCTATCTTGATAATCACTTCCATAAGTGAAATAAGATAGATTAGGTATACTGATTATAGCGTTGAGATTAAGTAATAATTAACTATATTTATTTTGAGGCCGTTTTTAAAAGAATTGCGCATGACTTATTCTCATTATTTAATACACTCAAATCTCAAACAAACAATAGATTAAAAGAAAGTTTCGTATCCCATTCTTCTTAAGAAACTAATTAGAATACAGTATTAAAACATATTCGTAGAGAAATGCCATTGTAAAGGTTTAAGCTAAGCTGGCGTCGCGTAATCTCGGTTAAGTCGGACTTAGCTTTCATTAATTGGATATGTCCATGTAATTTTATTATAAAAAAAAACACAAATAAACTCGATTTTAGTCGAGTTACCGTCGCTAAAAACCGTTTAAAACTAGATCAAAATAACTAAGGTTCTATTGGCTACGATCACTCCTAGTGCTATGTTTACTAATGACCCATATAAATAAGAAGCACGCCATTGATTTAAATTCGTTAATTTGGCTGTAAATTAACTTTCACAAGTATGAAGCACTAAAAACACTTGCATTAAAATTGTCTATGGCTAATTGAATAAGGACGTCGATGACAGATGCTCTTTTCAAATCGAGACGGTCGCGCAGCTACGGCACTAGTGCGCTCCGCGGTACAGTTGAGACTGGCTAGTGGCTAGTGAGGTGCGCCGTGCGGGGTACGTCTGGTACAGGGTGCGCGCCCCGTACCGAGTTCCTGCGGTACACAAATGTACCGTATGGGGTATTGGGCCATATCTCTGTGTCTGTTAGTAGTCGATTTTATTTGTTGCCTCAAACTTCAAATATTATTTTGTTTCCTCAAAAATCAAACCCAATAACTATTGCGCTTATATACATAGATTTATATGCATATATCTAGTTTAGGATTATCATTATTATAACATATTTTTAACACTGAACCTTTTCTAATTACGTTTTTATAACTAATGTAAGCATAATTTTGGTACATTTTATTATTTATTTAGTTCTTAGCCATTTCAACAAGTATTTTGGATTCAATAAATAAATTTTAACTGTTTATAACAATGAATGTATTGGTTAACTTATGTCTGTCGGAGAGTAGTCAAAAGAGATTTAAAAAAAAGTTAGCTTATACCGTTTCTGTTTAAAATCGTTAAATGTATGTTTTTCAAATATGTCGGTAGTCTATTCGCGGAGATTACAGACGTGTTAATGAAATATTTCTTATTAATTTCTCTAAAAGCATTTATTTAACCATAAAAATATTAATTTATGGAGTTAATACAAAAATTAAGTGTTTGATTGAAATCTATATTTTTTATCAGAAAATATAACCACCTAATATTTATATACTCAATAATGAGTTTAATGGTACATAATAGCTCAAATTGCTAACGTAATTTAATGATTATAATTTGTTTCAACTAAAAGGCCTTTCCGCTATTTTTTTAACTACAACTCATACATAATTATATAATTATCGTTATCTAGTATTTTATTTTATACGAGTATATTTTCTTCAAAGTTATTTAACAATAATATTAGGTCAAGTTCGTATGATTGGCCATTATATTAAAACGAAATAGAATAGAAACGTCGGGTCGTGGTTAAAATGTAAATAGTAAATAAAATTAAAAATCGAGCCAACCAATTGAGATACCGTGTCAATTGGTTAAAGCAACAACACGGAACGCTGGGATGCCAGTTCAAGTTCTGCCCGTGTCGTAATTTTTTTCAATTTTTAACTTATATAGTGCCATTATTTGCAATAACATGTAAAAAATATTAAACTTCTCAATAATCAAAATAAGTCAAATAATATATTTCGCGTTTTAAACAGTTAAGTGTTTTATTTCAGAAATAGTAATAATAATCATTCAATGCTGCTTTAACAGTTAGTCCATAGGTGCTTGGAAAGTACTTGTTACTAGCAATTGCCTTTTTTGAACTCGAGTTTTTTTCAACTTACTTTTTATTGTTCACAGACGTCTAGCGTACCGTCTGATGCCGCTTGCCATATGCTACGACATTCATAATAAAATACATACAGATAACCGAAAAAATGTTTAGTACGAAATTCACTGTAGGGGGCAAAGACAGATAAAATCTAGTTGCGGTCGTTTAGTCTGTGCAAATTTGGCGGGAACTTCGTTGAAATGAGTCCGTCGCCCTTTCAAATATAAATCCTAAATTCGATCTTATTTTCAGATTTGTAAGATATATTATACAGGTTTTAAAAATTTTATTTCAAAGTCCTGTCTATGTTCAAAGTCCTGTCTATAGTTTACGCGAGGGGTACACATTTTAATAAAACACCTTTCCGGGTTTAAAAACGGGATTTTTTTTTTATTTTTTTTGGAAAGGGTTTTTTTCCCCCCCCCCGGGGGGGGGGGGGGGCCCCCCCCCCCCCCCCCCCCCCCCCCCCCCCCCCCCCCCCCCCCCCCCCCGCTAAAACCTTTTTCTTTTTTTTTTTTTTTTTTTTTTTTTTTTTTTTTTTTTTTTTTTTTTTTAGATCTATGTTCTAGTATATCAAATATAACTTTTTTAGATTAGGATAGACAAGCATGGGGTCGATGAAAGGTGAAATATCCCGTATAATATCTAAACAAGATGTGTCCACCTTACTCTGTTTTTGGATATTTGAAAATTCAAAGACTGAAACCGAAGTGCGATTAAACTTTACAGCTTTTTCGTCTGCGGGCGGAGGTTCATGAGCCGGACGGAAAAGAGAACTATTTTAACAGTTTAAAACGCAATGTATAAGTCAACTTTTTTATAACTTCGACCCGATGCATCGATGGTGATAAAGGTAGTGGGTGTCCCTAATGGTAAAGACAGATCTGCCACCCTTTGATTATAATTTATATTGCTAATAATTAATTTATTGCTTGGTTTACACCGATAACATTTTTATTTACACAAATACTACTTGGGCATATTACTTAGATAATGCCACCTTAAATTAAAAGCCGATTTTAGGTTTTAAAATATTTACACATTTGGTATTTGTCCAAAAAAGTCGGGCCGTAATTTAAATAATTATATATTTCGCATTTTAAACTGTTAAAGCGTTTTATTTATAACTACTAAGCAGCACAGTATGCTACTGCATAAGAAAAATGTCGGAAAATCAGAGTAATAAACACAAACATAACAGTAATACATCACGAACGAGTAATAGTGGTAATTCTTGTCGCGTTTAACACCCAACAGACTGATGCAACGTATTGGGTAAAGATGCTCTGATGCTTCACTGCCCCTTCGGCCACTAAAAACGCGATATAGAATTTTTCCGTCCGAATTGTTAGCTTAATAATATAATCATAAAGTAATACTGTATTTAGTAGTATGTAGAATATAATAAAAATACGTTTATTCAGAAACACAACATTTACAAGAAATAAGAAAAATATATATAACATGTACTCTGAAAAGGGAACTCAGTGGCCCGTAGTTATTGATTAGGCACGTGAGACCTGCCCGACTGTAAGTTTTTACCGGGAATTGAATCTAGAATCTTTTCCGCTTAACGCAAAGCGATAAAATATCACTATCAATATGCTATTCTTGAAATAAGCTTAAGATAGCGGTGCATGTGCAAGGTAAACAGCACTGAAGCCCATTTGATGGAACAACAAGACGGGGCTTCGAGTCCCGCCGTGTAGTCAAACTCGATATTTAAAATAGATTTTTTAATCCATTTATTTGTTACAGCGATTAATCGAAGCGGCCGAAACCAGTTACATTATTATATTATATTAATTGAACAGTGGTTGTATATTTATTAGAAAAATAAAGATTTAATTACGTTTCGATTTTAGTGTTTATATTACCGAATGTTCATAACCAAAACAGCGCGGCAACGCTTTTAACGGGACATTTCACCTTCAATCAAGTGAACGCTAGTCTGTCCTCTGTTGAAAAAGAGATGATTAAAAAGGAATGTTCGCATTTCCGCTCTTTTTGTAGCGCCCACGTGCCCTACATACATACACAATGCAATGTCGCTATCATGCACTAGAAAAGCGAAATAAAAACCGGTTTCCAGTACACATAATAAAACCTTTAATAGGTATAATTGTTGTTCAGCAATACGTATTGTTTGGCAAGCGAAGGTACATACAATTTGATTATCGCTCAACGACTGTTTATGAACAAATGATAGTCTATTGTTTTTTATGATAGAGGACAATAAGCATGGGGTCACTTGATGGTACGTGAAATAGGCCATCCATACAATATTACAAGATGCGTTGTCGATCTATTGTGGCTTTGGATATTCGCAAATTTAGTGCAACCGCAACTGGATTGAAGTAAACTTTTCTGTGGACGCTGGTTCGTCACCCGGACGGAAATTTCGATGTGTCTATCACTCATTTAATATCCAGATTGGAATATGTTTCAGAGAAATTATAAATTGACGTTGTAAGACCTGGTGAAATCGAACCCACGACCCGTTGATTATTAATGTATTTTTTATGATAGAGGAAGACAGATGAGCAGAAACCAAATTCACAAAAACAAATATGGCCGCGAAAGCCTTTTAAAATATAGCCAACAAAGCTCTTAAAAATGTTATCTAAGGATAACAAGGTTTGTTTATCAAGGTTTGTTGTTATTTAATATTCAACCCGCTGACAAGGCAGAGAGGCAGTATGTCCAACTGAATAATTAATCCGCTGACTCCGAACATATTGATTTTCGATTAGAATCCGAGTTATTTCGATACTAAACAAACGGTTCTGCCTATTACACGGTTGTAATGGTAAAAACGATTGATATATGTTGGACGCATTAATCATCGTTCGAAAACTAAATCAAGGATTAATATAAATCGTTTCTTTTAAATAAAACATTTTTAACGGTTTAAAACGCTACGTCGCTATCGACATATTGTAAGCTTTAGATATTCGTAAATCCAGACTGACACCGAAAGGCGGTTAAATTTCACAGCTTTATTGCCACTAATCGTATTTCGATATACGTTGGGTATGTCGAAATATTTGATTTTTTTTTTTTTAGACGAAGGCGAATCATTGTCGTCATCGCGGGAGTCGAACCCGCGATGACGACGTTGATTATTATCAGTAGATTCCTGCCATAAGACTAACGAGCCGGTCATAAAATTAAAAAGTATTTATTTTTGGTAAGATAAATATTAAATAGTGATCAAATTAAAAGTAATAAATTTTTTAGTTAATTAAAAAATAACTTACTCAAAATGGCTGTCCTTATGAAATTCCTCACTAATCTCGCGTAATTAAAGACGACGCACATGGTGACAGCCTTGCAGAAATCAGCCACCCTTTGTCAAGGCCAGCGGGGATATTGTACTCTATTGCATTAATTATAAGGTGGAAAGTTGGAAGTCGAAAGAATATGGGAAAACCAGGTGAGTCAGACGAGAAATGAACACGTCAGAAGTATGCCATACAATAATAGGACTATGGCGCCTTATTTCCAACAATCGCATATGTTTTGTTCAGATATTAATTGAAGTTAAGAAGTCCATTTTTTACTGACTACAACGAAATTCTAAGGACAATTAGATATATTTGCATATACCATAACAACGCCTGAACTACAAAGCAAATATAAACGTATGTAACAAAAAAATAATTGGTATTAGTGCAATAGTTTCATCGTAACAGATGGCGCCAGCGTAGCAGATTTGACATTAGGAACACTTTATCTTGTATGCATCCGAAATTTCGAGTCATAGTTAAAATAATAAATATTTCACTACTACATTTCGCGATTAAACCGTTAAAAATGTTTTAATTATAGAGGAAACCTAATTGTAACGTGCTCATTGAATTATTTGTAAAGATTTGCACAAACTCCTTAAAAATTATTTTAATTTCATGTTACGAAAAAACAAAACCTTACAAGAAAAATAAGGTTTCGTTTCGTAACGCGTTACAGTATCACTTAGGCTTACTACTCTTCATTTAATAGATCAGATTTTTTAAGTTATAATTTATCACTTTTGTCGAGCGTAGACACGTTCTTGTTATTTTGTTCTTTCTACTTTTAAAGAATCGAACTCACTTGTTTCGCCACTAGGTCAAGGAATCGTATTTAAGCTCTAGTTATAATATCGATCTATAACAATTTGTAATGGCTGAATGTATATCAACGGAGGGTCACGCAACGCTAAACGTTATCGCAGTCATCTTGACGCCAGAGCCGACACTACTGCATACCTACTCCGTTTTGGCCAGAAAGCTACATTTAGTCCACTAATTAAATCTATCTTCACTAATATATAAAGCTGAAGAGTTTGTTTGTTTGTTTGAACGCGCTAATCTCAGGAACAATCCTATTTATTTTTTAAGAATAACTCGCAAGATCGACGGGACGCGGACGACGTCGTAGATAACAGCTAGTTATTACTAATAGTCAGTCCTTGTCTAGTAGCTAGATTAATAAATACAATTGTTCCTAAAAATTGGAAAATGGGAAAACTGTAATACTTTGAAAATCTTGAAGCCGATATATCATTCAGTTTACATTTGTAAAAGCAAACGTTTACAGTTTTCATGTTGATAAGAAAACCTTAATGTACTATAAAACAAATGTTTCAGTAACAAGTACAAATTTGTGTAAGTTTTCATGCAAGTTTGTCGTAGAGCCTTATCTAGATTCAGTATTACAATTGTTTTCAGAACTTCGTGCAAACGTTGTCTATATAAACATTGGTTCAAAGTAGTCAGTGTCGATGGGAAAATAGGATGATCTTAAAACGAGTATATAGTTAATACGTGTCGATGATGATGCGCTGTCGTCCCATTTTGGCTTTGGTTGTTGTTGGTAAAAAAAATGGTCTTCAAAACGAATTGTTATTATATTTGTTTTTTTATTTAATATTATTATCTGTCTCTTACATTTTATACACTTTTTCATTATTTTTTTATTTCAGTTTCTACTACAAAAGCAGCGCAATTTATGTGGGTCTTGGCGGTGTAATGGTAGATATTAATGGCGGCTGAAAATCAACGGGTCGTGGGTTCGATCTCCACCAGGTCCAAAATTTTTCTAATCAATTTATAGTTTGTCTGAAACACGTTGGACTTCGTCTGGCAATCTACATATTAAATTCGTCACGAACCTCCGTTCACAGATGAAACAGCCATGGAGTTTAATCACATAATATCCAAAGTCAAATTTGGTCGACTGTGCATCTTGTTTAGATGTCCTTATAAAATAAAACCGCTCTTGGCAAAAATTATTAAATCATTTCAACGTGTTGAAATAATGTTAGGCCTTCAGCAGACTCTGGTGCATGCTATACAAACGTCACTTACCTAGGAAGCTAGTCTCGCTGGCATGCAGTGCTTGCATGACTAGGGCGAGGAGAGCAGGTCGCGCGGGCGGCAGCCCCGGCGCCAGGCCGCGCAGGCTCACCGGCGCGGCGGACAAAATGGCGCCGCTCAGCATGCCCTAACCACCAGACACCTCCATGCCGCTTCCACTGTAACGAGAGAATCAAACTGATTGAAAGTCGCATTTTTGACAACAAAGATTGCGTGTGATACGGCTGTCCACAATATGGACTTACTGAAAATCAGTTTCGGGTCATAGCTATAAGGTTGTGGACCGATATGTGGAGGTGACTATTTGTTAGGGCATGTACCTAACCAATAAACACCTCCATATCGAGTCCACTGTGACAACTGAATCGTAAACTGATTGAAACTAATACTGTCTATAGTTTACGCGAGTAGTACACATTTAAATAAAACACTTTAACGGTTTAAAACGCGATAATTAGTTAAACTTACAAGAAAGATTTTTTTTTAATTTCGGCCCGACGTTTCGGGTGCTTTTCGGCGGCCGCGGCCCCGGGGGGGGCCCGTGAGTCACGTGAACCCCCCCCGTGCGGCAGTTGCAACAGCCTGCGCCCCATTTTCAAATAAGTTAACTAATATATCGGTTTTAAACCGTTAAAGTGTTTTATTTAAATGATTGAAACTAGTCATTTTTTGCAACAGTTTTTTTTTATGTACGTATGGCATTGCTGTCAGCACTGGACTTACTGAAAATCAGTCTCAATCTATTTATCACTGTCTACCAACAAGCAGACATTTAAGATTAAGTTATGGTACTATTTTTATATTTAATAAGGTCTTATATGTTTTTTGTGGCTAAAATAAATAAAATTTTTTCTTCTTCTTCTTTCTTCTTTATCCTACAAAGATCCATTGTGATATTTAATTTAAATTCAAATGCTTGGTCAAACATGTTCGACGTACATTATGCCATGTACAATAGACAAAAAAATATTGGGACAATCAAATATTACCAATTTCCTTACTACACTACCTTACTTACCTTGTTAACTTTGACATTTCTTTACCAAAAACTCTTATATTGGTGCAGTATAATAAATTGATAAATTCCCGCTATTGTAATAGTTCAAGGTTGAATCCAAAGAACTCATTAACGATTCGGTGTATCAAGTTTAGCGAGAAAGCGAGTCTATTTCCAATAAAAACTCAATTCTGATTCATAAAAATAATGTTAGTTACTTACAGTGAATGTTTTAATTTAAATATAATTATATGCATATAATTAAAATTAAGTCTTAACATTAATCTTTCTAATGATATTCAATTATAACAAAACATACTTAGTTCTTCGGTACATTAAAAATAAATAAATTTGTAGATTCCAAACCCAGCTAAAACTTGACTGTCACTGTAGCCGTAATGGTTGAAAGTGTTCAACCATTACGGCTACAGTGTACAGGCAAGCATTGTTTAAGTATGCAATATTGTATTTCGGTTGGGCAAGGCACAGAATCTGATCAACTGCCTGTAAATTAAGACTATAAGGCTGAAACGGTATTTCACAAACACACGCAGACCCAGCTCAAAGTAAATCCGATCCCTAATCATTATAAATTTTTCATAATTTGTGTAAGGTACGTATATAATGATATCTTGTCTGTCCGTATGTTTAATAAAGTCAAAGCAGCAATTCGTTATGATTCTTATATAAAATGTATATCGTTTAAGCCTGGAAGAAATCGCATTTTAGCGATAAGGCTGCCGTTTCGCGTTAAATTATTTGGAGTTTCTTCAAATTGAATCTTATTTTGTAATATTGTGGTGACAATAAAGTATGCTTTGGTTGTTTGTTAAATACAAACACTTTTCATGATCTTAAACGCGTAGTATATTAGTTAACTTAATATTACTTATTAACTACGGCCCGACGTTTCAGCCGTGGTAAAAACTGTTTTATTCAAATGTGTACTCGCGTAAACTAAAGACAAAAAAAAAGACTTTCTAGTCCAGCAAAGGTAACAAAGGTGAAACGGGGATTGCCAAACATTGCATCGACTATAAATTACGATAGACAAACGGTCGACGCGACCAACATTACAACTGTACTTAATGAGTGGGGCGGGAGTCTGTAATTGCTCTGTTTTTAGATCAAGAAATATATAGGTTCGATTCTGATTCAGTTATTACTTAGGATTTCGTTGTTGGATTAACTTGAGAGATTTCGGTGAAAACGAAGAAGAAACATGAATCATACTATATGAAGACTTAGGATATATGAGCGATGATCAAAATAATTGAAAGAATATATAATTCTATTCAATTCTCTTAAAAATTCTAAAAGCGGGAAAATAAAGATCTTATCTTTATAAACTTCATCTTCTCAATTAATCTTAAAAGATAGACATATACCGCGCGCCCTTTTTTAGATTCGAGAAGAGGAAATTCTTATACATATTTTATAGGTATCTTAAACCGTTTCTGAAGCGTACGCCTCGGAAACCAATAAATAATTATTTTCCCAATATTTTCCAATTTTTCGCTGTATCTTCGCTTCGCGATAAATGCTCTAACCACAAAAATAATTTTGTCATTTGAACCCCGTAGTTCCAGAGATAAGCGCTTTCAAACAAACAAAAAAATTCTTCAGCTTTATATATAAGTATAGATACATATTGTCTCGGTAATTTCCCTGATTGTTTAAAGAAGATTTTTTTAGTACCTACAGCGCTGCATCACAGGTACCTTCAAAGATGAGCAATTTTCAGTGTCTTATGTTATTTATGCCTCAAGCCTAAAATGCTCTCTAAAATAAAAACAAATTTCCGAAAATCGAAAACCAAAATACGTCGATATCATGTTATATGGCGAGGTTATTTCACCTACCATCAACTGAACACCACGCTTGTTTGTCCTCTACCATATAAAAAAAGTAACCTAAGATCTACAAGGCAGTTTTAAAATACGGAAGTAAAACGGCGTATTCATAAAAATAATGAACGTACACTTGTTTGTGGTTTGAATTTACTCAAACACCACGGAAAAGGATGTAATAAGATTTCCCAACGACTGAAAACAAGTTGTGGCCTGAAAAGGCCCGCATACGTCACGGAAAGTAATTGCGCGGTCTCTACCACTCGGCTCTAAGTAATGATTTTAATTGTGAACTTTCATCTTGTACTCTACTTAACTTGAATGGAGCGGGAAATACAGCCTATGACGATATAAAAGCTACAATTTGAAAGGGCTCGTTGGTCTAATAACAACAATATAAGGCTAATAATGAATAGTACGTTGTTTCGATCCCTACTGTGTTCGTTTCTAATCAATTTATAGTTTTTATGAAACATGTTTAAATTTAATGGATGGTCAGAATATTGATAATTTCGGCCTGATCTTAGACAAAAAAGCCGTTTAATCGCGTTTCAGGTTTTCGAATATTTTAAGCAAGAATGAAATGTTATGTCGTTGGGGTATTTTACCTCAAGTGAGACCCAATCTTGTCTCTCCTATATCATAAAATACATAACAGTACATTCTGCCGAGCTGCCGGCTACTAAATGTGCCTCGTTTTTATTGTGCTTATTAAAAAAACGAAACAGAAATGTATGATGCGTGCTATTGTTTTGCAAACTCTACTTTTGGGGGTTTTATATGTAATGCAGGGAACAATGCCTTTGTGTATTTTACAAGGATTATTAAAATATGCAAAATTCAACAAGATTTTTTATTTTGTTGTTCCTTCGCCGAGGTTTAAGGATACTGTTTGGTTTCTCCTAAAAAAATTCTGAAACGTCGAAAAGGTGTCTGTCCCGTACTTTAGAAATAGGCAATTTACATAATGTCAGTCATATTAATTTGGCAGTAAATATTGAGAGGGACTTTATTTTGATGCGGGCACAGGTGACACAATTTTGTGACAGATTCCGCTGAAGAATAATTAATTTTCGTCTTTCCAGAGAATGTCCATTAAGTTTGGTGCTTCCGCGCTTAAATGGAAATTTGTACTGTTTAATAAAGCGAGGTAGGGAAACGCTATTTTGCTATATATACATAAATTATTATTTCTAAACAGACTATACTTTTTTCTTTATAACAGATGACTGACATGCACGAGGTTTACTTAATATGAGGTAAAATATCCTAGTCCTTTTAAATAAATAACTTTAACGGTTTAAAACGCAATATATTTTAGTTGACTTATTCGAAAATTATACTAACTACGACCGACGCTACGCGTGCTTTGCAGCAGACGTCACGGGGAGACATTTATATCCTACCTCACACATACCACAGATATCTTTCTATATCCTTTTCGACCTAGATGTGCTGGTGTTTTGTATATTCGGAAATCCAATGACTCAATCGTTCCACTGACTTTTAAAATTAACATTTATTACATAATTTTACTTTTGAAATTACGGATTAATGTTAAGGATCGAACGACCTGTTGGTGATCAGCCAATTTGGTCCAATTGGATCACGTCATCATATACATCATTATATATATTATATGAGAATATATATAACCTGACGCCATCTATAATTTTTAGATTTAAATTGCTAACTAGAGTTAGGAATACAAATTAATTTTTTTGCGTAATCTAACCTAGTTTATAGAATTATCTGTTCTAAGATCGGCCCTATCAAGACGTTGAGAAATAATATTTTGTAAAAGCTTGACAGTCCTTATCAGATGACATGTCAAAGCAACCTTGAATTGAGGTTAGATGTAAAAATATAATGCAAGGTTCGCAGTTATTGCATCAAATTGTTATTTTTGGTCATAAACAATATTGTATCTCTGAAGCACATTGTAAATGAACTAGTCTGATTTACGGCTTTGGTACAAGTAGTAGGTATAAACAGGACTCTATACCTAATGCTTCGTGTGTCTGTTACCATAGACCTCCAGAACATCAATACCTAGAGAGTTGAAATTTGCATAAACAATGTGTTCTGTTATCGTTATAACAAGAGTTACTTAAACGAAAATAATAAATTTTATTAAAAGGCACTTAAAATGTCTAAAAAAGGTTTCTACATCAATTTGAGTAAAAAATATCTAATAATCCCTACGGAACACTTCGACCGCCCGTTTGACTCGTTCTTGTCTTGTATATGTATATTTTAAAGAACATACATAATTGGTTGTACTCATTTAATTTAGGAACTTTGATTATATAAACGGTTCTTTAAACAAACTGTGTTGAGTTGTGTTTTTGACAAACTAGAGAGTATTATTAATATAGACATGAGTGTTTTTATTAAATACCTTTCACCATTTTTAACTAATAGTGGATATAGAACATCAATGACGCAGCAGACTGTTCGAGGATAATATTTTTAGTGCAATCAATAAAATATAGAATTGTCAATACACAATAATATTCACATATTAACAGTACAATTACGTGAATCTTAAAACGACACATTTCTAAGAAACCGACACAAATCAATACAATTTTTATAGAAATATCCAATAAGGCGTTACGAAACATCTTTTACGCAGCATTTCAAGAAACATAGACAAACATAAACTTGACCGAAAATCAATGTTTGGAATTGAGCGATTGATAAATTAATATACGCACTTGCGAATGTAAAAAGTCTCATTTAAAGCAGTTTATATTCGTTTATTCTTCTCAAAATCTACCAAAACATTTATCAAAAATAAAAGCGTCTTGTCTTACCCTTTTCTTGTAGAACTTTTGATGTCTTGCAATGTTATTACGTAACACGTAAATAACGAAGGAATGTTAAAACGTTTGATCTCTTCACATCACAGATATTGGCTTCATTCAATGGTCGATCGTCGGATTCATTAGTTCGTGTTTTAATTGTAGAATTATGTTGAAATGAGAGTAAATGAAAAGAAAATGGCGCAGCGCATTCAGACCTGACTATTGGGGTAGAATGCGCATGCGTAGAACCCCCTAACAATGCTAACATTGACGTTTAGAATGTTTAAATAGGGTACAAAAGAACCCCAGCGTAAGGAATTATTGATATAACTTTATGATACAACATCAGAGCATATTAAAAAAATGTTTTTAATTGTACGTAATTTTTTTTAATTTACAGAACTGATAATATGTATAAATTTATTAATGTGGCAACCCCAATAATATCGACCGCACAATACAGCTTCTATCAATCAAACAATAGCTAATTGGAACCCAACTCTGCTACTCTTCACCCCTTGACATTTAGTAGAATACTGTTGTTAATAGCGTTCTTGGTATGTTATCCAGTAGCATAGATTCATTTAATCCGTACTAAATGAGAGTTTTTTTACCTAAAAATACTTTACTTTCCGTTTACGCGAGTAGTACACATTTAAATACAAAACTATAACGGTTTATAACGCGATGGATATATTTAAACCTACTTGGAAATTATTTTAACTACGGCCTTATGTTTCGGATGCTTTGTAGCAGCCGTGATCGAGGGGAAACTAAAGATAGAGGATGGAAATAGTTTCCATGGAAGTTTTAATATACATCGCATCTTCATCGCAATTATTCAAGTACAATGCAGATCGAGCGCCAGTTTTTAACCAGTGATAATGTCACTTTTACCGTCTCCGTTTGGTGCGCCATCTATAAGAGCTAAGAGCCGGCGAGGCGACTGCTTTGTAATTTTCGACCTACTCAAAAAACTGCCTCACTAGCAGCCTTTGACACCTAGCTCTCTACCTAGAGACAGCGTAGCCTAATAACACTCTACTAACAACATACCATGATAGTGAAACTTATTTGAAAATTATTTTTAACTTCGGCACATCGTTTCAGATGCTTTGTAACAGCCGTGTATATATCGTGTTTTAAACCGTTAAAGTGTTTTATTTAGATGTGTACTAAGTACTCGCGCAATCAATTCAGGCGAAAACGAATTAACTATTATTTGTGTAATGTTTACAATTTTCGGTCACTGTGCTCGTAAAGATTAACATTTTTAGACTATGAAAAATATAAATAACTTAAGTCATAAAAATTGCAGTTAGGCTACTCTGCCTCTAGCGGCTTTACATCTAGTTAACTTCGTTGAATGGCAAGAATCTGTTAGATACAATTCGCACATTATGGCATAGATTCTTAAGAGCAATCAAGCTCGTTGGTGTTTCAAATGCTCTAGGCCAAGAAGTTTATGTCAATGTAGGAGAAATATTCGCCTGTTTGAAGATTCGTTTATTATACAGATTATTTTTCTTCGGAACCCGTGCAATGAAGAGCAATATATGTTAGACATTTTAGCATACTTAGTTAATATACATAATAACTACAAATACCTCGTAAGGACGCAATAAATATGCCCTTTATTAAACGCGAAAGTTATACGAACACAAGTAGGTATCGACAACTTTAATTTTAAAATTTGAGAAAAACGTAAAACCTTCATTGCAAGATATGTATTTGATTTATTCAAGTGAGTTTCGTTAAATTACACGTATTCTTGACGGTAGTATTCAATTCTACTAAACTTTATAATTATCGCAAGAATAAACACGAGTCGGCTGCGAAAAAATTTTAACACTTCGTGACATCTAATTGTACATATTAAATCTGTTAGATAGCGATATAATATGAAAAAGGATTAATACTCACGGTTTTTCATTTGAAGACCCGGCGTCAACGCTTGTAAAATCCGTTATAGACGTTGAAAAAAGCATGTTTTGAAGGTTGCTGCAGATTTTCGCATAGTTTTTCTGTTTTGTAAGAAAACTGCTTTAGAAACTTTATCCACAACAATGATATAGATGTAAAATGTGCAAAAAATGACGCCGTAACAAAGCAGGTGATGCGTTTGCGGCGATAGAGGGCGCGCGAAGCGGATTGGAAGGGACTGCTGTTAAGATGCATTCCAATTATGCAACGAAAGAGAATAAATAATACCGTCAACATGTACAAAAATTACGGTTGTTTGTTATCCACATTTTTAATATAGGCCCTCGGTAACTGAACATTTTCATTTCCTCAGACATATTTGCTGTGGGCACATCTTTTTAATATCGAAAAGGTTCGCTGTTGATATTTCGGATCGTACAAACATCTACTTCGTAATCTGGAAATATGAGGTGCTGGCTTTCCGGGGAAAGAATTTTCGTTAATTTTCTATCTCGTATATCTGTGTTCTCCTTTCCGTTTTTGAGACTTACTTTAGGTTGTCAGAAATCAATTTAAAACTTCCGCTCGGTCCAGTTGTTAGTTATTTGACCGCAGATTATAATTATTTTCATTTAGAGAAGATGGAATTTCTTTTAGGCGTCTGTCCCATTCCCATTGACTTAGTAGGATTAGTCTCTTACTAAAAAAGATCGGTGGGTCCAAGATCTTAAACCCTTTGAGAAAGAAAATCTGTTTAACAGTGTTAGTTAAAACGAAAAGATAATTATCTATATTTAACCGAATTCAAATAAAGGGAAGGTTTCTGGAAATGTAAATATCTAACATTTGTCGAAAACAAGTAGGCAATTCAACTTTTCTAATATCAAGTGATAAGTTTATCACATGCAATGACCATACAACATAATCAATTTTGTAGCTTATGAGCTTAATTTATAATTATATGCTGAATAATACTATAAACAATTTCATGTTTTATTTTACAAGTCTTCGTAAATGCAGGGTATTTTTAATAATTTGAAATTCAAACCTTTTTACGAATATGATAAAATCTAAGGTGAGGCATATTATGGGAGGAAATAAAACTCTTCTAGATTGCCTTTAATTGAAACTAAAGAAAACAACCAAGAACTATAGGAATAAAATTTGTATTTCACAATTTAGAAATGTTCATACATAATGTATTCATTAATAAAATATAACTATGCTATATCGATCGCAATAACACTCAAAAATACATTGTCTTAACAAACATTAGGTAGATTTCTATTTCATTAAAATAACATTAACTCGGAGAGCCGAAGCTCCCTTAAAATAATCGGTTGTATACAATAGGGCATCCTCCGAAAGTCTGGATTCAAATAAAATTTGAAACACTAATTCTCAAATCGAAGGTCGACCTTAAACATCGCATAATATTTTTACAATCTAACGAACTATTTTACGCAAGTGATTATATATATAAATTGTATAAGGCTTTTGCGGCCATTTCACAAAAGTAGCTCAAGATTTCGAGCTGTTCGGAAATCGTATTTGAATACATGACGTCATCGTTCGTCTAGTCGAGAACTATTTTTTCAACTACGACGGCCGATTAGCTCGAAAACCGAAGCTGCTAATATCATTTACGAATTCAAAGCACTATAAAGTATGGTATCTGGCACTATAAGGTAGCCTCATAGGTAACCCAATGATTACTATTTCCGAAGTAAATGCTTATTAATACAACTTTCTACATTAACAGCATTTAAGGTATTTCTATTTTAGTAAAGATACAACAATCGTATTGCAAGAAACTATTATTCTAATTACCATACGCTTAGCACCTTTTATTTGGTCATTCCCTGTTTCGCACGTCTTTCCCATTCCGCTCTCATCTGCAGAATTCCTTTGAATTGTGGCGACGCATCTGCTTCCTCCTTATCTTTCGCCTCGTCCTTCTCTTTATCCGCGTCCTTGTCTATCACAGCACTTTCCTTTTTATCCTTCTCAACGGACAATCTAAATTCATCTTTCCTTTGCCACGGTCTCTTTGTCAAGGTATCCGCTTTGTAGGATTCACTTTTTGTAATGTTCTTAATTTCCTCTCTATCGTTGGAAGGGTCCGGGAAAGTTCTGTTTCTTAATCTCTTTTCTGGTGTGGAATCTGAGACTTCTTTTTTGTATTTATTGACTTCATTTCTGTAAGTGGGCGTAGTCTCTCGTTTCGTGGACACACTGTGGATGCTAATGCTTCTTTGATAGTGCGGAACACCAAACTGACTGACTCTCGCTGCGATGTCTACTGATTTGTTTTCTATGCTTTCTTTTTCTTCGTTTTCCTTATCGCTGTCTCTAGATTTAATAGATGCGTTAAATTCATTTTTTAAAGATTTACATCGCATCGATTCTTCTATTTTGTTGCCATTGGCGTCACTTTTCTCTGCTATTTCCTGAGCTATGCTATCGGCGTCTGAATCTTTAAGTTTAAGAGAGCGACGTGCAAACACCTTCATAAGCTCTGGTTCGTCGTCATTTTTTTGTCGCGAGTCTCTGTTGAGGATAGGCTTTTTGCGATAAATAACAGTTTCATCGTGCCTGTCAGGAATTTTGTTTTCATTACTGTCTGTGCTTTGAATTGAGCTTTTGCTACCAAAACTTGAATGTGATTTTCTGTCCATTGATATGTTGTCATCTATTTTTTCTGTGCTCCCATCGGTGCTTACGGAATTAGCTCGGGGCTTTTCAAGTCTCTCATGTTCGACACTGGTGGATTTTCTCTTGAAGTATATTTTGGGAGTCATAGGACTCTGTGGCGTAACAGGTGTCTTGGGAGAAAATTTATCATCATACAATGGCGTGTTGTCCATACTTTTAATAGAATCTCTCTTGGTTTGATTGACGGTTTTAGTTTCTGTTAAGAGAAAACTTTCAACTTCTTGATCCTTATCGCTTTGAAGCCCATCAGATTTTTTTGGAGTCACATTCGCCGTTAAAACAACATTTGAAACTGGTTTTGTGTCAACTCTATTCAACTGGATATTCAAAAATTCTGGGACGCCTTTCGTTACGCCAGCTTTTTGTAATTTTTCGTCGCTCTTAATAATTTTAGGTATTTCTACATTTTTTGTCGAAACTGGTGTTGTTTCTTTATTAATGTGAGTGACAGATATAAAACTTTCATTGTCCAATTTTAATTCTTTCTGGCTAAGTTGTTTGCCACTCATGCTTAATGCGCTTTCTACGGAAACTGTTTTTCTCTTATCGTCTATAGGTTTCTCAGGACTGCTCTTAATGCTATCCAAAGAACTCGATTTGAGTATTGGGGCTATAATAGGCTTAGGCGAACTAATAATATCATCAATCTTAGCCTCTATTTGAGATATATCGCTATCGCGTTTATGAGTATCCATTGTGATGTGAATGCTATTAGTGAACAATTTTGTGTCTTCATTAATATCAGGTTTAAGACTGTCTAGATAACTACTATCAGTGCTAGGCAGGCTGTCGTACGCATCGCTGTTTCCTTGAATGTTATAGTTCCTGGCGGAAATTCTTTTGGAAAAATCGTGCCTCTCGCTAACGTTTCGTCTATAATTGACTTCCCAACTCTCAAGAAGGGGTTCAGGAAATCCGACAATTGTTGGCAAGCTTGGCATCTGATTTTCTTGGGAACTTATTGATGGAGATTCAGAAGCATAACGGAAACTGTGTGATTTTCCTAGACTGTTTCTAGTTTCAACGTATTCATCACCGAGAGATCTTAGACCGGACGTGACGTAAGATTCCTCCGTCTTGCCGATATGAAAACTGTCTCGTTTGAAGATTTGCTTTTCACGATAGTCTGTTATTTCGGGGCGACTGTGTTTCACATTTTCAGAACTGTGGTGAGAAGGCTTCGGTGGCGAACTGGAAATAGTAATACTTGGATTGAAATAAGGAAGGTTCTTAGGCATACTGCCGGAGTGGAAAACGTTGTCGCTCTTAACATTTCTAATTCGCATCGCTCGAGTTATTTCTTCTGAAGTTTCAACGGCCGTCGATAAAGTCTCTTCGTGCGACCTCGACATGATTTCGTTCGACAGAAAAGCTTTTGATGAAAATGGATCGATCAGTCTTTGGACCGAGGCGGGTCTTTTGGATTTATCGTGATGCAAACTAAACGATTCTTTTTTACTTTCTTCAATGCTTTCCTTAGATGAAGTTCTTCTTTGCCGCGGCCTTTCTTTTTCGTAAAACTCCTCGCGTCTACTGAAACGATTTTTCATTTCCAAATTTAATAATTTGTCCGTTTCTTCGGCAACTTTGAGATCAGTTATGTTATATTCGACTCCGGGTACTTTTGCAGCACTATAGACATCTTTGTATGCACCGTCTTGTACGTAAGCACCTTTATGGTCGAGTCGCTTATGCATCTGGTTTGCGAAGGCTTTCTGTCCGGCAGATCTATGCGGCCGCTCAGCGGGGACCGGTTTGAAGCCTTCGACGTAAGTATAACTTTTATCTGAATCTACGGTTTTATACTGAGCTGTTCTATCTGTTTTTGTTTTCTTATTATCTTGTCCTTCCCCGTCTGTCTGGTCTTTCTTAGACTTCTTGCCGCTCTTGCGCAATAATAGTCTACTGAAAAACGATTCTTCTCGTTTCGAAGATCTGATTACTTCATTTTCTATTTTCTTTTCAGACTTAGACTTTTTCTCGAGGCAAGATTCTTCGGCGAATTTCTTTTCCGAACGATACTTATTCATTCTCTCTTCCGAGTGGTAGGTTTGAACTTCAGTTTGTAATTTGGGAGAGCTCTCTCTTATCGGTTGATCTTGAGTGCTGGATTTACTTCTTTTTATGGATGATCTAGGAGTGTTGGACTCAGCGAGGCTCAGTTTGGTCGGAGATTGTCCTACCACTTGGCTGAGGGCTAACCCTGGTGGCAAAGAGGAAGATTTGAGTTTAGTATCGATCGGTGTTTCAAGAACTCTGTTAAGTTCTCGTGTCAGTTGTTGTTGCTGTTCTTTGACGATCATATGATGCTTCGTAGTAGTCGATGAAGAGAATGATTCTGAAATTGTTAAAGGAAATCATTAATACATTTTATATCTAAAAAAATTGTCAATCCCTAACTTCCTAATTAAATTGTACGTTTGTTAATGATAAGTTATTGTATACACTGTTTAATTAAACTCGTTTCATTAATCCAAGTTCATGATTCAATTCATGGTTAAACCCAATGCGTAGTAATGCCATAAGAGCTTGAATTCGAATCCAAGGGCAACATAAAAGTTAAATCCAGTAGTACACATCAAACACTTTTAACGTTTTAAAAAGCGCAAAAGTTTGCAAAAGCCGGCAAAGAATTTCACGTCAGTTAGTTAGTTATTATAATAAATAAGTTAACGAATATAGTACGCGTTTTAAACTGTTAAGTGTATTATTTTAATATAAGTATAGGTTAGCAATGGTTTGGTAGACCACCGCTACCAGTTAAAGTGTTTTGGGTAAGGTAAATTCTTAAATATCTATAATATCTGTACATACCAGTAACAACTTCTGAGCTTTTTAGAGTTACTTCAGGAGTGGTGCTTCGTATCATTTCTTCGTTCAGTTCGGGAGTTATCGGCAAGGCTGAAGGGGCGATCTGAAATTACATTATAACATTTTCATGAATGTATAATACCAGATACGTCGGTGCTGACAGCTTAAGTTTATAAAGTTGACGCAAAAACTAATTTGGATGCCCAAAATAACGATTCTCGCGGACGAAGTCGCTGGAACAGCTAGTATTTTATACACATAAAAAATAGCTTTTCAAGAAAGTACGAATCACTTTTTATATATTTCCGTTAAATAAGGTGGGTCTAATATTAGAAAGTGACAAAAAGCTTGTCTTTGTATGTGACTCTATCTTCTCTTTGAAAATCCACAAACTGAAACCGAACCACGATTAAGCTTCAAGGCTTTTTCATCTGTAGACGGTGGTTCGTCACCCAGATGTAATTGAGATATTTACAGATAATGCGTATCATTTTTCGGAAAAGTTATAAATTGATTAGAAACATTTAAACAAAACACAGTAACGGTTTAAAACGCAATATCTATTAGTTAAACTTATTTTAAATTCGGTATGTTGCCCGGTGACCACGGCTGCTGTAAAGCATCCGAAACGTCGGGCCGTATTTAAAATAATTAGAGTAACTAGGATATATCGCGTTTTAAACCGTTCAAGTGTTTTATTTATATGTGTTAAACATGTTGGACCCAATAACCCTCGAACCCACGACCATTCGACTATTCGCCATACATTGCTACTGTGAGATCAACAAAAACGTCAAACTCACTGGAGTGGCTCTCTTTCTTCGAGTAGCCGGGTGCGTTCGGCGCGGTCGCACGGCCATTTTGTGTCGCGCTGCAGAGTGCGACAGTGGCGCCACGCCCGGCGGCGGTTCCGATGTATCTGAAAATGCACATTCATCTTTAAGTAAATTTGTATTGACATTTAAGAAGACGAATACAGTATAACAGATTTGTAATAAAAAACTGAAGACGTCCTAATTACTATATGATCCAATTTTCTGAATAAAAAGCTGTTTTGCGACAACGTATGTATAATATAATAATACTTAAAAATAGTTCATTTCTAGTATACTTAATAAAAGAAAGAATACAGTAATTCAGAAAATAATAAACAGGATTAAAACATTATTTGGTAAAATATAGTCAAACCTTACACTACAATACTAAACAATATGAATTTGTGTATTAATGTTATGTCAGTTTATTATATGTAATAATATCAACTCACTATAGATATCGGATTGGTCGCTTCTCGCGGAATGGTCGTGTGAGTGATGGTGGCCGCTGCTGCTGTCCTCGTCCATCTCGGAGGACCCGACGCTGAGCAACGAGCCATCGCTGCACGACGACTGAGAAATGCCAGCATGGTGCCGCTGGGGACAAACAGTTTGATAAGCATGACATAGATAACGTAATGAGGGATCGACTTGACGGAAATCGGTCTAAAAATATCGGTAACTAACTGTAACCCGCGTGTTTTATCAGATACTAAAAATTTACTTCTTTAAACACTTTAATGATAAGTTATTAATGATGGGGCAATCTTAAAAATGTATGATGAATATATTGCTAACATTTTTTGTTGAAAACTTCAGGAATTCAGTCATTGTTTAAGCAAAGCACAAAGTGGTGATCAATGAAAAAAACACGGATATTTATCGTAATGTAGTTAACGCTAGTAGTACGCATAATTTAAAACGATTTTAATGTATCAACATTAATAAATAACAGACTTTGCACAAACAGACATTTCTTCCAATATATATATCTAAGAAAATTGAAACTTAACCAAGTTTTTGAAATAATCATAAAACCACGCTTCTATAGCCCAAATGATTAAGTAGAGCGCATTAAGACTTTTAGCGCGTCGATATTTGGATTTACGTAAAAGTTGGATCAATTTTTAATGTACACATTTGACAGTCACGTCAGTTAACCATATTGTTAATTGAATTGCACTCAAACATTTTGAGTGTATTAAGCTTAATCTGTCAAATGAAACTGGTTTGTGTACGCAGTTACAATCATCGGAAATCGGGGATCGACATTGATTGAGACAGCTTATTTATATCGGGTATCAGACACAAATGTATCTTAAATCGCATGTACCCTGGCCCGAGAATCTCCAAAGTTTAGCGCTAGGTTAGCCACACAAAAAGTTGCTTAATTACTTAACTAATATTAATGTTTTAGGATATTGAGCTTAAAAAAGAAATTATAAGTAGTTTTAAAATAATGAATGTGCGCACATGTACTTTGAAAGTTATAAAGCTTTCATGACCACTTTCAAAACTTGGTTTTTCGAGCTGTTCAGCCCACTTTGATTAAACAAAGCATACATAAATACTGTCTATAATTTACGCGAGAAGTACACATTTAAATAAAACACTATAACGGCTTAGAACGCGATATATTAGTTGAACTTATTTGAAAATTATTTTTAACTTTCGGATGCTTTGCAGCAGCCGTGGTCACGGGGAGACGGGAAACGTCGGGCCGAAGTTAAAAATCATTTTCAAATAAGTTTAACTAATATATCGCGTTTTAAACCGTTAAAGTGTTTTATTTAAATGCATACATAGTCATACCAACCTTTATATTAGCACTAATAAATCTCCGCCTAGGTGGTCGCCTCACCCCCACATCACTGGTCGTATTTGTCACGTAGAGCATCATTTTTATCGACAACACGAGCACAACACTTATTCAATGTACACTTCTAGTTCTAATCATATTTTACACTATTCCTTAACCTTGAAGTTAAGTAGCATTTAAAATTTGTGCAGTGCCTTACAAGACAGTTGCAAGGCATATAAAGATTATGGAAATAAGGTTTAGATTAGATAGTTATCTCGTATTATGTATAGGCTATTATATATAAATATTGGTGTTATGACACGATTTACCTCTTTCTATTCTATCAAACACTATCAATGTATTGTATTAAATGCTATTATGATTATTATTGGACTTATAATTTAAAAACCGACTATAATTTTTAAAAATTACGGCTCTGGCAGGACTTGAACCGGCATTCCCAGCGTTCAGTGCTGTTGCTCTACCTACCGGGTCATGTGGTTCACACATGCCCGAGTCGTATTTTTATTTTTCAATGTATAATCGATTTTTAATTTATATAGTGTTATAATTTGCAAAATATTAGAACTTCTTAAACATGTATTTTAACCAGAAAACAAGTTTACATTATTTTACTTCCTAATTCCTTACTCCGTCGTTTTACTGGTAATTTCTTGAAATTTTTGACACTGGGATTTGAACCTCAAAGTTAGTAAACAGAAGCAGTCAACGCAATTGTAACATTTTACACTTAGAATTATCTTTAACCTAAGAAGACACGAAATTCGATCATGCAGCGAACGCGCGGAAGAAAGTGCCTTGCTGACGTCATTGTCAATGTCAAGATAATCTAGTATATGATAAAGCGATAAGATACTATCAGTTATCGGCTTAGAAAGTATACGTATGAACATATAATTATATGTGGCATTATATGCTTAATATTCCAGCAGAGTGATTGCACTAATCATGGGCTTGCACAACGGCATACACAGTTCAATTACGCTATTACAATACCGAACATTTCTATTTAGTTAAGAATTCGTTATATGCATATTATATGTATGTGTACGTCTGTATATTGCATGACAAAAGAGAACAGACAGCTGGGGATAAGTTGACATCTAAATAAGATGCTTTTTCGAGCTATTTTAGCTTTGTACGTTCGGAAATCCAGACTGAAGACGATATTATGATGATCGATGACATTACCATTTCAACAACGAGACCGCCAAACGTCTATTGTATGGTGGCAAGCGAGATAAATGACTAAGCAGGTAAAACACCGGTGATCTAATAAAAGCCTTGTAACATTTCTTTTGAAGATTCGCATATTGTAGTTTTTCATCAAAAATAAAAAAGCAACTGCTGCTATCTTAACCTGATCTATGATAAGGATAAAAGATAGAAAGAGAAGATACACGCCTATGCTGATAAAACCATTACTCCGTTTGACTGAGTTGGAAAAATAGCATTGAAATGCGATATTTCATCTCGAATAAATCCGATGTCAAAACAAGTTGTACTACACTATTAAATTACAGCTCATACGAAAATTGGATCGCGTGATGAATGCAGTAAATATTCTTTAACGAAATAAGCGCTGAATTCCGTATTTGTGATAGATGAGATATTTATATTTTCAAATTCAATACTAAAAAGTACTATTAAAATTTTCCAAGTTTGAAAACTTTTATGATTATGTTCCAGAGGTACCTTCGTAGGTCCATTGTGTATGAAAAGTCGAGTTTCCTTGACACACTTGTGTGTCTGTTTTATTGATGGATTGTTAAAAAACAAACCTTACCTGTGCGATTGTTGCAATGTTCAATTTGTTTTAACTATTTTAAATGAAACACGGTTTTAACGGTTTCAAATTATATTTGGTATTTTGGGATCTAGTGGATTCCCGACGTTCGATAACTGTAAGCTGTCGTTCCTAATGTAATATTTCGCGTTTAAACCGTTCAAAGTGTTTTATTTAAATTTGTAATACTTATGTTACATATATTATATACTTTTTTAGATTTCATACGAGATGAGATTCAATTACCGTATTAAAATCTATCATTTATGTTAGCATAATCAACACGCTCTATATATTTTACGTAAAACTCAGCAATATTTTAGTAATGAGTGTGTACAATTAATTTAGCTACAGTCTAACCATGAAATTGATAGTGGCTAGGTACGGTCTAGGTTTTAAAGCATGAGCGATGTGGTGGCGAAATTAACAATGACGCAACGGGTGTGAGCGACACTCCTGTCTGGGGTAATATCGGATTTAAATTCTACACTAGCACTCTGTAACAAACAAACGAACGGCGACTAGTTAGCTAATAAGTTTTAAGTTTATATACGGGTCGTTGGTATAACTCTTATGTAGCAATGTATGGTTAATCATCAACGGGTCGTGAATTCTATCACCACCGGGTCCAAGATCTTTCTAATCAAGTTATAATTTATATACCAATAATTTACAAACCCACCTAATTTTACCAACAGTATTTGTCTATCGATCTAAATATTAAATGGGTTTGTAGAATTATCGAAATTCCATCCAAGTCCTACTGATAAAAAGTCGACAAGTTCTAGAATGTCTTTTGGTTGGGGTATTTAAGAAGTTACTACTTGGAAACTAGACAACTTAATGTATGGGAAATTTTTGTCTTATACTTAGTACTTAGTTAAAGGCCAAGATCGGTCAACAATAAAGATTCATTGAAAAAGATCACTGTTGTGGTTTTCCACAGAAGTTAAATTAACCGTAGTTCGGATTCGGTTTCAGCCACTTTGGACTCATCTCTTATGTTTACATAATGTTGTAGACCAAGCGTAAAATTGTCGCGTGGTCATATTGCATAGCAAAAACAAAACAAGTCTGATAATATTTTTTGCATAAAGTGAGAGTTAGATTTGGAGATAGGCGTTTTTATGTCTATATACAGGCTGTCCCAAGAAGTAGTGTCAAGCGGTGGTCTCAAGATAGAACACCCGTTGGATCACACCAGCAGCAGCATCCGAAACACCCCTATGTATGTTCTGGGATTATTTATAGTTTTCAAGTTACGAATTATTTTCTAAAATTTTTAAGAATTTTTGACCTAAACAACTTAAACGCTAATTTAAAGAAGGTGATAATACTTTTTCTAGATTTCTTTTCACAGCTTAATAAGCATGAGTCGTACATTATTAATTAAACATTTGTCGTCGCAACCTTAACGGAAGTTAAAAATATGATGGTTCAAAGTGAAAAAGTTACGAGCCGTGAAGTGCGTCTTAAATTTTTAACTTTAAATTTAAAATATTAATAGGTAGCTTTGTAGCTCATAAGTAAGTTTAAAACCTGCGCCAGACAGCTTTAATAATCATTTAAAAAAAGGACTACATAATAAGCTACTTTTGCTAATACCGGACCTCAAAGACGGATAGGCGTAAAAATGTAATAAATAGCCATTTGGCAACGAGATTGTTTTTTTTGCATTCTTGAAGTTAATTTTTAAAATTAGCCATATGATTTGGAACCTTTTTAAACATTTTATTATTTCTGAAGACAATTCGATTGTTAAGTAACTAAAATCTACTGAGGGAGCGCTAAATGGCAAACATCTGGTTTTTGTAAAAAAACAATATATTATAACATATTATATTAAAGTAAATAAAAAAATACTATATATAAAAGCCACATATAAACTGACTTAAGTGCACAAGTAATAATTACTGTTATAAATGTAAATATTATTATAATAATAATTGTACACACCAGGTTATGTACATTTAACACTATTTATTTATG